TTGGCGTGAGTTTACGGTAGAAGCATGATTCGCGACCTGTGTGACAGGCAATCCCGCCGTGCTGTTCAATTTGTAGCACAATTACATCGGCATCGCAGTCGAGACGAATTTCATGTACGGTCTGGAAATGTCCAGATTCTTCGCCTTTGTGCCATAACTTGTTGCGTGAACGAGAGAAATACACGGCTTGGTTTTTCTCAGCCGTCAAAGCCAAAGCTTCACGGTTCATCCATGCAACCATCAAGACACGTCCCGTTTGGTGATGCTGTGCAATGGCAGGGACTAAACCTTGTTCGTTAAATTTTACTTCATCGAGCCATTGCAAATTGTTCATAAGATTTCACCAAGCGAATAAATATTGAGAGTGTTACGATGTTAACGTAGCGCGCTATAGTCTACGTGATTTAAACAGAATAGAGGAGAAACTTTCTACAGTTATCTCACAGTGGCTTAATTGATGTATTTTAGAAATTCAACTATCCGTCACCCATCCAAAGAGGATGACGATGATTGTCGTTGCATTCTACACAGAATGATTGTTTTGTTTTGCAATATCCCGATAGTTCATTTGACTGAACATGCCTAATTTTAAACCTGAAATTGTCACCGCCATTTCTTTACGGAAATAGGGAATTCGATACATCCAAGCAAAGCTTAAATCTCGTAAACCACCTGCCCACCATAGGTCAGATTGGTAAAGTGGTGTGAGTAAACGACTTAAAAATTGATAGAACGCCGTCGAACTTTGACGGTGTTGATGATAAGTTTGCCAGAGTTGAACATAATCAATGTTTTCATTTTTTCTTGCGCTTTGAACCGCTTGCCCCAAAGCCCATGCATCTAGAAGGGCCATATTTGCACCTTGCCCCAGTTGTGGACTCATCGCATGTGCTGCATCACCCATGACACCAATACGACCCTCACCAAACTTAGACAGTACCACATCACGATAATTTGCAGTCAACCATTGTGATTTTTGTTCAGGCTGGGCAATGACTTGTTCTAACCAATCCGCAGCAGGTTTCCAACGCTTAGACACTTGGTTTAACCAGTCTGAGTGAGCTTGTGAATTGTGTAGAAAGTTATTTAGCTGATGGCTTGGAAGACTCCAAAATACACTCGACAGTCTTTGCTTGGGTTCATGTGGCACTGTACCTGTCGGTAAGATGCCCATCATCATTTTAGAGCGATCATGAAACTGATGTAAAATTTCTGTATCTAATTCAAGACATTCGGGAACAATTGTCCATTTGGCTCCCCAAGGATAAGCTTGATCAACCTTTACCCATTCTTTCGGTCTTAAAAGGCTGCGTGCGCCATTGGCAATGAATGCCTCAACGGCGCAGTCTGAGCAAGTTGAAGTTTTATCCTACCTCGGTCAAATGATGGCTGAGCGTAAAGCAGCGGATCCAGACTCGTCTTATGTCGCGAAGCTGTATCACAAAGGTCTCAACAAAATTTTAGAAAAAGTCGGTGAAGAAGCCATCGAGACTGTGATTGCCGCGAAAGACTTTAAGTCTGAAGCCAATGAAGATCATAAAAATGATTTGATCTATGAAGTGGCGGATCTTTGGTTCCATACTATTGTGGTTTTAGGTTATTTCGACTTAGATCCTCAAGTGGTTCTCAATGAATTGGCACGTCGTCAAGGGCTTTCTGGTTTGCTTGAAAAAGCCAACCGCAGCCACTAAGTTTATTGCCTGTGTCGAATATCATCAAACCGAGCGCGACTTATGAGCAAGCCATTGCCATTGATAACGCGCGTCTGGGCAAATCGTTTAAAGTGATTGCCTATGCAGGCACAGGTAAAACCACCACACTGCAAATGATTAGCGATGCCATGCCGCAAAGACGAGGCATGTATTTAGCGTTCAACAAAGCCATTGCCAGCGAAGCGCAAACGAAGTTTCATGGCAATGTCGACTGCCGAACCTTCCACTCACTTGCTTTTCGCAGTGTTCCACGTGGAGTGACGGACAAACTTCGTCTGCCTCGTTTAAGTCCGAGTTTTATTGCCAAAGAATACCGCCTTGAACCCATCACCCTAAGACGGATGATGGGCGGACGTTATGAAAAATATGTGTTGATGCCCTCACGCTTAGCCAGCCTTGTGGCGAATGCCGTGAGTCACTTCTGCTCAACCAGTTCTCAGTACCCAGCACCGCGACATTTACAAGCACCGAGCTGGTTACATCCCGATGATATCGATTCACTACAAAAGCACCTCTACCCTGCCATTGAACGACGTTGGTTAGAGTCCATCGATCCCAATCATCAGGCTGGGATTGGTCACG